TGCGCCCGCGCCCCTCCACCGGCCTCGCCGAGATCCTCGTACTGGTGGGCGGCTGCGACCAGGACTGCGACGAGCTGGTCACCGTCGACTGCTACAATCCGCAGACGGGTCAGTGGCGCTACCTGGCCGAGTTCCCAGACCACCTGGGCGGGGGATATAGCATCGTGGCGCTGGGCAACGACATCTATGTGACAGGTGAGTGCGCCGGCTGAGGCCGGGGGGCGGGGCTCTGCCTTAGAGGAAGAAACCCGCAGAACTGGAATCGGCGACCCGAAGCCAATTCAGCGCTCTGGGGGCCTCTGTCCTGGAATTAGGACCTCTTGTGTGTACAGACAAGCAGCTGCTTGTGGCTCCCCGAGCTCCGGCTGGGCCGCCTCCCTGTCAGGGAAGGGCCTCTCCCTGTCCCTCCAGGAGAGATGGACATTCACCCACACAATGAGTGTTTTCTTTCTCTCCCCGAGGAATGCAAGGGCAGGCCTGCCTGAGGCTGACGCCTGGTGAGGCAGCCCTTCCTCCCCAGCCTGGGCACTCCCCCTCCCTGCTGAGACACCGGGGCCTCCTGACTCACTGGCTTTGTCACACGCCACCAGATTCCTTGGGGCTTGCACCTAGCCCTTCTGCACCCTGTCACGTGGTGCTTAGCCTGAGCCCTGCGACTGACTGTAAACATGGTCACGTGTTGGGACGTTTTCTTCCAGTTGCCTGGCCCTAGCCCCAAAACCCTGCCGAGTCATGGTGGGCGGGTACCAGACCAGCCCTCCCTGGCTTCTCCCACATTTTTGACCCAGGAAGAATCCTGCCCAGACAGGAGGCCACCCTCTGTGGGCGAGCAGGGGCGGTCTTAGACTGCTATATAAGGCAAGGACAGCCGGGCTCTGCACGGGAGGGTTATCAGGCAGTGGCTGTGCCCCGCCTGGCACATTCAGGAGACAGAGGTCACTGTTTGGTGCAGCTCTGGAGCTGCCTGGGGCGTGCATCCCAGGGATACCCTCGGCTCAGGCCCACAGTTTCGGTGCCCAGCAGCTCTGTGTCAAACCCTCTGTCGGAATCTGCCAGTCTGTCCCTCTTGACAAAAATGAAGTTGGACCTATGTTTGGGGACTGGGTCCTCCTGCCCCACCACCCCACCGCACCCATCCCTCCTAGAACTGGCCGGACCTGCTTCTGTATACTCTGCTGTAAATGTCACAGCTGCACAGCTAATCCTTTGGGTTTAGGCAGGTGGCTTGCACATTCCATTCAGCTGCCTGTGGGGAATTTCCTGGGGCCCAAGAAGCAGGCTTCAGCTGCTTTCCCAGCTCCATGTGGAAGGAGGGAAGCCCAGAGTCGTGGGTGTTAAAAGACCTTTGTCATCTGCCTCCAAAAGCTTGGGGCTGTGAAGCAGACATTCTGTCTGCTCTGCCCTGTGGCACCGGCATTGGAGGCCAGGGGATGCAGTGGTGGGATTCTTGGAGTCCCATCTCACTGAGAAGGGGGTGTCTAGGGCCTCCATAGACTGGTTTAATTTAGGATGACAGCACGCATGGCGGCACATACCCAGAATCTCAGTCTGGGAGGCTGAGACAGGAGGATAGGAAATCAGAGCTTGGCCTGGCAACTTGGTGATTTAGCAAGACCCTGTCTTAAAATAAATTTGAAAAGATAAAAGAGCTTTTATTGACATAGGCACATGGAGTGTTAGGCACAGAAGCGTGTTCCACCTACTGGTACAGCTGTTCCATGAGTCTTGTTTTTGTTTTTTAAGTAAAACACACCCCTGTAACCTGTTCTGAATGGAGACTAGTACGCCCAAGTGCCCTGCTGTCATAGTGTGACTGTCCCAGCTCCGGCTTGCAGCGTGGACTTCCTCCTCGTGTGCCCGCACAGCCTTGGTCACAGGGGACAGGAGCCCTAGTATTGGGTAAACTCAAGGCCAGGCGGCCTGCCCCAGTTATTTAGAATTGTGGCCCTGAGGGGCCGTGGCTGGTTGTGCATGTGTCTCAGTGGGACTTCCGGCCTGGGTTTGGGGAGGTGAGGCTTTGTGCAGAGCCTATGAGGTTCATTCTTCCCCAGGGAGCAGCCGGGGGTTAGGGGGAGCTCGGGATGGCACTGACTCAGGGAGGGCTGACCACTGCCCCTGCCTGTCCCACAGGTGGCTCCGATGGCTCCCGGCTCTACGACTGTGTATGGAGGTACAACTCGAGCGTGAACGAGTGGACAGAGGTGGCACCCATGTTGAAGGCGCGTGAGTACCACAGCTCTTCGGTGCTGGATGGGCTGCTGTATGTGGTGGCCGCGGACAGCACAGAGCGCTACGACCACGCCGCCGACTCCTGGGAAGCGCTGCGGCCCATGTCCTACCCCATGGACAACTGCTCCACCACTGCATGCCGCGGGCACCTCTACGCCATTGGATCCCTGCCCGGCAAGGAGACCATGGTGATGCAGTGCTACCACCCGGACACAGACCTGTGGTCGCTGGTGGACTGTGGCCAGCTCCCGCCCTGGTCCTTCGCGCCCAAGACAGTGACGCTGAACGGGCTCATGTACTTCGTCAGGTGAGCTCTCGGGGCCCCGCCTGGTGAACTGTCTTCCATATTTGGATCTTTTGGGACGGAGTCTCACTGGGTAGTTCAGGCTGGCCTCAAACTCTCGGCACTCCTTCCAAGTGCTGGGATCATAGGTGTGCGCCGCCACCACTGGCATGGCATCGCCGTTCTCCCCATTTCACAGACGAGGAAACTGAGGCTGAGCCAGGCTCGGAGGCTGGGCTCTCCGGGCTCCAAGGTGCCTGTTCATCTCTTAGATCAGCTCCCGTGGGCTGCCAGGATCTGCCAGCCAAGCCATCCCAAGGGTGGTCGGGTAGAGCGAGCAGCCCCGGGGTCTTGTGTGTCACCCCAAGCTACAAAACAGCCCCGGCTGATCTGCTGGTCTGGCTGCCCTGCCTGCTGGTACGCGGGCATCCAGAGGGTGCCAGAGGCCCCCACGTTCTACACATGTATGTGTATGAATGTGTACAAGTGTGTGTATCCATGGTCCCTGCCCTGCCTGGAGCCAGGAGGGAAGGAGGCCCGTGACTGACAGTCCCTTCTGTCCCCCTTTCGGCCTAGACTTTGAACAAGGAGCCCCCGAGTATGTGTGTCCTTTGCTTTAGGGCCGTGACCTCTCACCCCAGAGTGGACTGGCCCTTGTCTTCCCCACCCCCAAGGCTCCCCAGCTGAGCACCAAAAGAACAGAGGGTCAGCGCTGAGCATGCAGCCCCAGAAGGCCTGGCACCACCATGCGCTGAGAGCCCCAGCCAGCCTCGCCCGCACCCTCCCCCTCCACTGAGGTGTGTTGGAGGAGGCAGAGGGGTGGAGAGGGCTATAAATACCACCTCTCAGCTGCCAGCGCCTTCCAGTCCTCAGGGCCCTGCTGGGCCCCGCCCACTAGCCCCTTCTGAGTAGGCATCACATGGCAGTTGCTAAACCCTCTGAGAAAGGAGGGTGCTGTCCCTGCGGGCAGTATGGGCTTGGGGCAGGTGGGGGAGATGGCTGCAGGAAGGTGGGGTCCCAAGTGGGGAGGGGCCAGCCATGCTGAAGTATCATCATCATCATCACCCCCCAACACGCTTCAGCAGTTCCTGAGCCACAGGCTTCCTGTCCCACAGCCAGGGGACCAGCTAGCCCTGGAACTGCCATCCTGGGCTTCTCCCCTGGCTGGGCCCCCGCCAAGAGATAGTGGGCATCCTGGCTCACCCGCAGGGCCTTCCCACTGTGTATCTGGCTCTCTGCTGGTTAGGGGCAGAGATAGAAGTGACCATCAGCAAATGAGCTACAAACCGTGGTTCTCCATTTCACAGTGCTTGAGGTGAGAACTCAGTAATGCTTCATAGCATAAAAAGTTACAAACCAAGGGAGGTGGTGCATGCCTGTAATCCCAGCACTTGGGGGTACTGAGGCAGGACGATCACCACGTGTTCAAAGCCAGCCTGGACTACACGGTCAGAGCTTGTCTCACAAAAACAACAAAAAAATTTGTTTGCTAAGTTACATGAATTTTTTTCTGTATTGGAGATTGAACTCAGGGCTTCACACTTGCTAGCATTAAGCTGCATCCCCTACCCGTTTATGTGTTTTATTTTGTGGTGAGGTCTCCCTAAATCACCCAGCATAGGCTCAAACTTGCAGTCCTCCTGCCTGTAGCTAGAACTACAAGTGTGTGCTGTTACCTCGCCCTGCTGCCCTTGAAGTTTTGAGACACCAGTCCCCTTGGTTAGGACCCATCTGCTGATTTCTTTCTCCTCACCACAGTGGAAGTGCTGAGTGCTTGCTGCAAGCAGCATCTGGTGCCCAGAGCCTGAAGTATGTGCTGTCTGCCCCTTCTGCTGACCTGGCCTTCAGAACTGTTGTCATCAGAATTGTTTTTGCTTTTCTTCTGGTCCCCTTAGCTTTATTTTGATTGTTTATTACATTTTTTGTTCTGTTTTCTTGAGACAGGGTCTCACTATGTAGTTCAGCCTGGCCTCTAACCTACTGTTTAGCCCAGGCTGGCCTTGAACTCACAGCTACCCTCCAGCCTCAGCCTCCCAAGTGCTGGGATTACAGGTATGCCACTTTGCCCAGCCTTATTTCTTACTTGGAAATAGGGTCCCCCTAAGTCACTAAGTTGCTCAGGCAGGGCTCGAACTTGCCATCTTTCCACCTCTGATGTGTGTTGTTCTGCCCAGCTATGACTACTTACCAGAGCACTGAAGATGCAGCAGTGACCGGGATGGGCAGTGGCAAGGGGTGGCCCAAGGCCTGGGGAAGGGCCTAGAGGTCTGGCCTGGCCTGGTCAGCTATAGAGGCCTCTTGGAAAAGGTTCAGGTTGATGTAGGGAGAGCTAGGAGGGTGGGAGTGGCTTGGGAGCCTGAAGTGGTAACAAACGTGATACCTTCAGGATCAGCAAGAGGAATGACCAAGCTGGGCGTGTGCGGCGTGTGCTGTGTGCACTCTGGGAGCTGAGGCAGGAGGGTTATTGTGAGTTCAAAGCCAGCCTGGGCTGCATAGTGAGACCTTGTCTTGGTGTGTGGGGGATAACCTCATTGTGCTGAGGTGTTCATCCTGAGGGGGTTCAGATATCTGAGGGTGGTGTGAGCTTTGGGCTTGGGGATGGCATCTGCCTGGTGAAGGGGCAGTCATGGGGCTCTGAGACTCCTGTCTCAGCCCCAACTGCCATCCTCCTCCCTGCACAGGGATGACTCCGCTGAAGTGGACGTGTACGACCCCACGAAGAACGAGTGGGACAAGATCCCACCTATGAACCAGGTGAGTCATGAGCTCCAGCGCCAGGCAGTGTGGGTGTCAGCGTGGCAGGTGGGCCACGTCCCCAGGTGCCATCTGGACAGGGGGCTGGCATTTGCCTCACTCCACCTTGGAGGCTTGCTGAGACCTAGGTGTGGGGCACGTGTTGCTTACTTCTGAGTAGTAACACTCACCGTAGGGACCTGCACCTGTACCGGTGATTTCCTGCCTCTTCTTTATTTTGTTTTTAATATCAGGGATTGAACCCCGGACCTTGCCCTTACAAGGCAGGTGGTGGCATCACTGAGCTAAATTCCTGGCCCTGCTACCTCTTCTTTTTTACCCCCAGTTCCTCCCATATAGAAAAGCTTTCCAAGCCGCCAGGTATGGTGCCACATGCCTGTAATCCCAGCACTCAGGAGGCTGAGGCAGGAGGATCACTGTGAGTTTGAGACCAGCCTGGGCTACATAGTTCCAGGTCAGCCTCAACTACATAGTGAGGGGCTGGGGATTTAGCTCAGTGGTTCCACTGCCTGCCTTACAAGCCAAGGACCTGAGTTCGATCCCTGGTACCGCCCCCCCCAAAAAAATAGTGAGACCCTGTCTCAAAAAAAAAAAAAACTTCTATCTTTTCCTTCTTTTTTCACTCTTTTTCTTGTCCTTTCCCCCTCCTCCCCACTTGTTCTCCTTCCGTTTTGAACATTTCTCTCCATTTCCCAATGTGTGTTACACATTTTAGTCCTTATTTCCACTTTTAGTTTTTTGCACAAGAGAAACAATGTATTTAAACACATGAGTCCAATTTATTGCACTTAAATGGATGGTCTTGAGGTCCATCCACTTAGTTATAAATGTCTCAAGTTCGTCATTCTTTATGGCAGTCATTCTCCATTCTATAAAAAAGTCACATTTTCTTTATCCATTTCTCAGTTGACAGGCATTTGGGTTGTTTCCAAGACTTACCTATTACAACTTGTGCCGCTATAAGCACAGGTGCACATATATCACTGTGTTAGGATGCTTTTCTTTTAGGAAGACCCAGGTGTTTTTGAGACAGGGTCTCACATCTAGTCTAGGTGGGCTGTGAACTCACTGCAATCCACCTGCCTCTGCCTCCTAAGTACTAGAGTTGCAGACATGCTGCCACACCCCACTCAGTCACTCCCTCTCGCAGAGGCCACAGCTGCTTCCTTCAGATCCTGAGCCAGAGGACAAAGGCCTGGGGTGGTGTGCCTGGAGTGTGTGATGCTCCAGGCAGCCTGTGTCTCTGAGAAGGTGCTCAAACTGGCGGCCGGGATGGGAGCGGATGTTGTTCCCTGCCGCCTGGCCAGTCTCTTTCCCTGGCTGAGAAGGGAGGAGTGGTGGCACTGGGAGGGGTCAGTGGCACTTGGCCAGGCTTTGTGTCAAGCCCCAGCTCTGCCAGCCTGCGCCACAGTTTCCCCACCTGTGAGATGAAGAGTTCGGTCGTGCCCACCTTGGAACCAAGCGGCAGCATGGGCAAGGGCCGGGCACTTGCTGCTGGGCAGCTGCCCTGACCACCACAGGTAGGGGTTGCCCGGCAGACCCAGGCCCAGTGTGGCCCCTGGGAGCCCAGCAAGGCCACCAGCCTGTCCCAGCCACCTGCCTTCTGAGATGATGGCAAGGTGGGGACTGCGCACCCTGTCATCCTGGGTCCCTGGCACCTCTGTGGGTGGGGAGCTTTCTGCTGTACCCCACTCCAGCCCTCCCTCCACCCTCACCTGCAGGTGCACGTGGGAGGCAGCCTGGCGGTGCTGGGCGGGAAGCTGTACGTGTCAGGTGGCTACGACAACACATTTGAGCTCTCAGACGTGGTAGAGGCCTACGACCCCGAGGCCCGGGCCTGGAGTGTGGTGGGGCGGCTTCCGGAGCCCACCTTCTGGCACAGCAGCGTCAGCATCTTCCGGCAGTTCATGCCACAGACTCCTCTGGGCGGCCGCGGCTTTGAGCTGGACAGTCGCAGTGGTGATGAGGACGCGGGCCAGCACCAGCCACCACGGAACCCTGGCGGGCTGCACTAGCCCTGGCCTGGCCCGGACAGGGCCTTGGTGTAGGGGCCCAGTGCCTCGGGGGCGGTGACCCCTCCTTCAGGTACAGGTGGAGCCCAGTGAGCCCAGGTCCTCGTTGCCTGGGGTTTTCTGTGCACTTCAGAGCCTGGGTCTCTGCTGCTGAAGCAGCACTGGCTGTGTGTGCTGCGCTGGCTCCTCTCCCTGGCACCCGGAGGGCCCCAGCTCACCTGCCTGCTGCCACCTCCTACCCTGGGGGCAGAGGGCAGAAGGTCCCCCAGTGGGGTCTGCATGGCCTCCCTCCTACCTTCTCTGCTGGCCCTGGAGGTCCCACATCCAAGCAGGGTCTGAGCGTGGTGTGTGAGCTTGAAGGGAGGTTGCAGAGCCCCCAAGTGCCTTATGGCCAGTGCCAGGTCTCCCCCAACACCAGCCAGTGAAACCTCACTGGGCAAAGAGACTGCTTGGGGCTCTGTCCAGGCCAGGGGAGGAGGGGCAGACACCCACAGCGTGAGGTTACAGCTGCCCTCTGTCCTTGAGGCCAGCAAGGTCCACAGCGCTGCCCAGTGTTGTGAAGAACCCTGCTTGGGGAGGAGGCCTGAGCTGGAGTGGCCTTCCTGGTAGCTCTCAGTTTGCTCTTTACCAGAGGGGGAGTGGAGGGAGCCAGAGCCAAGATGGCAGCAGGAGTGCCCAGGGAGATGCAGCTTGGGGACCCCAGGTGATTTGGCAGGAGCAGGACGTTTCCATGGGTTATTTGATCCTTTCGAGGTTACAGAAGTGGCTTCCATTTGGATGTCACCCGCTCCTTCCCAGGGAAGGGCCTCAGGCCTGGTCAGGTGACAGGAAGGCTTCTTCCCAGGGACTGGACTCCTGCGAGTGAGTTCTCACCCGGACGCCATCACCTAACAAGCTGTGCCCAAGCCCCTCAGCGGGCAGATCGCAGGAGTTGTTGCCTTAATTTCTCCCAGGCCACCAGGCAGGCTTTGTCATGCCTATCGCCTCCCTTTGGTGCCAGGTGCTGTGTGTGTGTCACTGCATTTTAAAAAGTGCCCTGTCCAGTCTGCTTGGGGACACTGGCTATTGCTGTCCTGAGTCAGCCTGGGTCCCTGCTCTTCACTGTGACTGGTGTCTCTCTTGCCCTACTGTCTGGCCACACAGATGGGGCCTGGGTTTGTGTCCCTCTGTCTTTGCCCCAGAACTGCCTGGGTGCCACCATCAGGCCAGACTTTGGGTTTGAAAGACTGAGCGGGCACTGGCTGCCCCCACAGCTTCTGTGGCCTGCAGACCCAGCCAGGGGCCTAGGATCAGGGCTCTCCTCTGCAACCACAGGCTCCATCTGGGTCCCCACCGTTATAGATGGGTTGGAGACAGGTGTTGGGCCACCTAGGAACATGGCTTTCCTTACATGACACGTGCACAGGGCTTTGTCCACAAGGCACCAAGTTATGGGAGTTAAGTGGCAGGTGTGTAAGGCTGACCTGTAGCGTATTCTATATTTATGACTTCAGAGACTAATGGACACAGCCGTCGTGTCCCACATCATCACACCCTAGAGGGTAGGCACTTGTGTATTTATTTTTGTCTCTTCAGTGGGCCTAAGTGTCCAGAATCTTGTCTCCAGGTTTTAGGGTGCCTTGAATACTTTTTGAAATAAAAATAATTCCTATTTTGTGTCTGCCTTTGTCTTCCTGCTGGTGGGTGAGGCAAAGGCTTGGGACTGAGTTCATCACAGGAGGTGAAGCAGGAGAGAGGAGGGTCCAGAGCACGCTGGGGCCAAGGGGGGTTCACCTCCAAGCTGTTTTAGCACCCCCAGTACAGCACTTACAGGAGTGGGGTTCCTCGCCACAGTGGGATGACTCTTGGGCCTAGGGTGGTGGAGGGGGAAGCCAGGTGAGGTGGCACACACCTGTAATGCCACCCAGCACTCTGGGCAGCCGAGGTAGAAGGGATCACAAGTTTGGGCCCAGCTTGGTCAACTTAGGGCTGGAGTTGCAGCTCAGTGTGAGGCCATGTGAACCCCAGCACTCCAAAAAATAAAAATAACCTCCAAACAGGCCTTGAGTTGCTATCCAGTTGTGGAGCCCGTCAGCCTGAGGGAGGCTTGTGCCCTGGGCTGTGAAATAAGTGCTGGACAGGGCCTGTGTCCTCCAGGTTGTTCTTGGACCCCTCCTTCCCTCCAAGTGCTGGGGGTGCATCCGTGTACCACTGTGCCCAGCTTGTGGCTGGGGCCTTTTGTGTTTTTAGCTGTGCTGAGAATCAGACCCAGTAACCCTCGCCTTGAGGATACTGGGCAAATGCTGTCAGCACGGAAGCACTTGTAACCTATATAGGAAGGTAAGCCACACCTGGGGTGTCAATACTGCTCAAATGCTCTTCCCTCCTAGTGCCTGGCAGTCAAGCTGTGAGAGATGGACAGGTGAGGCAGTGCACACCAGTGACCCCATCACTCAGGAGGCTGAGGCAGAAAGTGGCAGATGCGTGAGCAACCTGTGTCCAGTGAGTGTCAAGACCATATTTAACATGGGGTATGTGGCTCAGTGGAGGAGCCTTGGGTTCGATCCCTGGTACTGCAGAGAAAATGCGTGGCTGGGTTAAGTCTGAAACCAACATTGCAACCTCCACTTCCAGAACTGCTGGTGTGGGGGGTGCTCTGGGCTCCCCAGGTGACAGGTTTCAGAGGCGTGGCCACTGAGGACATCCTGGCTCATCTCCCCTGGGGAAGTTTTAAATGTGTATCAAATAGGGTCCCCGTGTCCCCTCCTTTACTCTTGGGAGTGACCAGTGACTGCCTTGTCCAACAAGATGTGGCACAGATGACACATGCAATGTGAGAGAACAGGTCCTCCAGGGGCCTTGCAGCTTTAGCCTTTGGGAATTTGTTCCTACAGCTGAGCTGGCAGGGAATCCTGACAGCAGCACAGGGACCTAGGCCCTGCCTCTGCCTCTGCCCAGCTCCAACACACCAACTGAGCCTCCAGATGCTTTTTACAGTCCTGGGGACTTCACACTGAGCTAGATCTGGTCTTTTTTTTTTTTTTTTTTT